CCCCAAAACCCCAAAACCCCAAAACCCCAAAACCCCTTTGTTAGGGTGATAATTGATCATTTAGGTTGGTTATAAATATTAACTATGCATTTTAACTATGTACATTTACTTTGCCAAATCCGCTCTCTTTCAGGATTTTTCTTACAACTTTTTTTGAAATTCCGCTGCCTGTAATGTTAACCATTTTCAGTGTCAATCTTAAATCTGGGGACGAACCCAGTCCTTTTATTAAATTATTGACTTGATCAGGATATTCCTTCCAGTTATAGTAATTGGTATCTCCTGAATCATAAAATCGTAGTTCTTCAATCTGTGTATGTCTTAGTGCCTTTGAGAAATCTGCAATCGCTGGGACAGAAAGTTTTCAACATCCTAATGTAAATATCCTGACATGTTTGTAAGAGGATATTAATCTTTTTAGCTGATGATAATTAATAATAAATTGATCAAAGTAAACACTTTTTCAAATCCTTGGACTGATCTTTAAAATTCAATTAAAACACTCAAGTTTTCCCAAATTCTCTTGTAACCCAGAACTGAACATAAAGTTGTTAACTTGTTCGGGAAATGAGTTTTCTAGGAAACTAAAAATATTTTTAGGCTTGGCTTCTGCTTGGTATAATTCCATTCTGCCCAGATTAAACAATTTGAAGTATCTTAGCTTCCAAATAAAATTGCTATCATTTACTTGAAGCACTCGGAGTATAAATCTAGTGTTGTCATCCTTTAGGATTATTGAGGGATAAAGGGGACTGCGCTTCAATCCTCTATTATGAGTATTGAAATAAAGATCTCAGCATCTCTTGAAGTCTTGTTCCTTGCTTTTTACGTATTCTGTCAACTCTAAACTTTATAGAGTGTAAGGTAATCATTTCTCATTCCGGATAAGCATATGTGTAATTTGGGATTGGTAATTTGCGGCAGTATTCAACAAGAAAACTTGTACATGTTGCCTTTGGCATATTACACTTAAATTGAGCAAAGAAGTTCTTAGCTTGATAAATTTTCTCAGAAATATTTTATAGAACTAGATGCTAGGATTGTTATGAATATTGTTTTCGTGGTCTCTGAAGCTCACTCGCTGAATATAGAATGAGGAAAACCAGAGCAAAGTTCCATTTATTTGGATAAGATAATTCCAAATATGTCCCTTTCATAGGTCCAAGAATATTTTTATGTATAATCATTATTTGTTAAGAACTGTGCTAATGCTTATTTTCGAAAGGATCCACTATTTTGTATCGTTTTAGGACGAAAATCAAATTCTAGAGTGACATAAGTCTCAAATATATTTGAAAGATTCCAATAAGTGCATCATCCATTAGTTTTATAGTCTAGCATATTTTCAACCAAAATTTACCTTCTATTCTTGAGACTAGTGTCTTCAGTGCTAGAGGGTATAGGTTCCATTTTATATTATATAAATTCTATTCACTTGTATTCCAAAGGGGTTTTGGGGTTTTGGGGTTTTGGGG